TATATATATATATATATATATATATATATAATAAAATAAAAGTTCACCGAATGAAAATACAATTCCAGACCCAACCTATGAAAATGAAGGTCCATCTATTGGTTAATCAAGTTTTTCATTTTCAATTCATTTCCAAAAGAAATTTCAGATTTTCAAAAGGTCCACCTCGCCTTTAATTTTTCTCTCTAAATAATAAAAGAAAACCAAAGAATATAAATTATACGGACATGTGTCTATAAATTTAAAAAAAAAATACTTAAACTTTAAAATGCTTTTCAAATTCTAAATTACAGAAGTTACTTTTCAATCTTAAAGAAGTTAAACTTATCATACATTATAACATTTCCAGGTATATAATATTTCTTAAATCCTATTTCTGACGATGAAACAAACACTTCTGTTCTTTTCGCAGCTTAAAGAATTACAAAACTAATTGTGATTTACAAACCCAGCATTTTCTACTTTCTAAATATGATACTGATTTATATAACATCTCCATATACTTGACAGATAAGATGATAAATGTAATTACCTATCATAGTCATTCACCTTATTCTCTTCATTGCAAGGGGATTACCATACTAAGAGCCAAAGTCAGAGACTCTGCCAACAGCTTTTTTTGTTGTGGTGACTGCAATTCAAAATACATAAAAGAAAAACAATTTAGTAGGATAATTCACATTTAAGAAGCTACTAATGATCCTGTGATATCCATGGATAAGCTGCACGAGGGGTTTATCAAAGAGATTTCCATCAGTGAAATTCATTGCCTATAAGCTCTCCATATCTTGTTTTTCTCTACAAACAATACAACTTGCTTCTGAAAAGTCATATACGGAGAAGAAATAATTAGGTACTCTGTTACAAAAACATAATAAGGTACTCTTATTTCTTCCTGAGATCAATTCCAGCCTTCTTTGCAACTGCATCAAGTCCATTCTTCTCTATGGTTTTCAATGCCTTAGTTGATAAACGCAGCTTCACAAAGCGCTTCCCCGCTTCCCACCAAATTCTTTTGTACTGAAGGTTCACAAACTGCAGTTTCTTTGTCTTATGGTTTGAAAATGATACTTTGTTGGCCCTGTTTGATTTCTTTCCAGTGAAGGGACAAACTCTCTCTGAAAAAAAAAATACAATAAAATCACAGCATTAGAACAATCAATCACCAATCAACTAGTTTTTCTTTTTTATTTTTTTGAATCAACAAAAACAAAATTTATTCAAACTTGTAGCCAAACGATCACAAGGTGTGACCCGCCAAAAAATGCACATCACGGATATGTATAAAATGTAATCTACATGGAAAAACAAAATAAACATCCACCCATTTGCACATATCTCACCCCAAAAATAACAAATTTAACATAGTAACATGATTGCAGTCTATGACGCACACATTCGATGTGGCCATACGAAAATTCTATTTTAAAAATAACAAGATATGTGTAAGATGCATATTTAAAAATTTATAAAATATAATAAATATATGATTGCAACTGTACATATCCAATTCATAAACACACATTTATTAGACATTACCAAAATAAATAAAAAATTATAAATCATTGTCATAATAACTTACTTTCTATTATTTTCATACAGGAATAGCACTGCCAATCTTAGTACCCTTTTAAAATAATACATAAAGAAAACAATTTCCATTTTGATTTGTGAAGAGACAATGTTTCCATGTTTCTGTATTGCACGTACTTTATGTTTCTTATAGTTTTATTAGATATACACGTTTTCAAAGTGTGGGCACTTCACCAATACGTATCAGCGAAGTATCTAAAATTATTGATATCAGGTTCGTGAAACAAATAAAAGTATTGATGTTTCATGAGTTTGGATACTTCGTCAACAAGTACGAGTGCAATGCCCCAGAGAGTAATGGATGTGTGAAGCAAATTAAAGTATCAGATATTAGAAAATCGTTAGTTATGCATGACAGTGAAGCAAATTAAAGTATCAGATATTAGCAAATTAAGTATCAGATATTAGTTATGCATGAGAGTAATGGATGCTTCATAGATTGCAGTTAAGAATCACACAGTAATGACAGTGAAGATTACTCACACCAACAAGTAACGATATTAGAAAATCGTTAGTTATGCATGATCTCTTGAAATTTGGCTTGAAAAATATTTTCTATTTTCAATTTTAAATAAAAAAATCCAGAATAGTGAAATTAAGAAACAATGAAACCCATAAAAAATGTTTTCATCGTTTGTAATATAAACTTTTGAAATCAGAGAACAAAGAAAAGAATATGATAGCTTAATAACGGAAAGAATCAGAGCAATTAATATAGTGCATTTTACATTAACACTCTGTATTATTTCTTCCAAATTCACACAATACCCAAGCCTTTGTTTCCCTACAGTAACAATCTCTTAATTTTAGAAATACACTACACTATACTGATACCCTATAACCTCAGAAATACATTGCACCATAAACTTCCTTAATTGTTTGAAATATATCACGCCGATACTCAATTGCTAAATCTTATAGTTTGGATTTGGATCCAACTTCACTCCATAATACTGGTTTGTAAAGTGAAGTTTTTACCCTACTTGTATATTCCTTTTTAACCATTTGACTAGCTGCTGTGGGACTAAAGAAACCATCACTCTTGAAGTTGCAATTTCGGAAACTCCAAAGAGAGTCACAACTTAGCCGGGCTACTGCTTTTCCAACACTTAAAAGAATACATTACACCATATACTACCCCAGTAAGAATAAAAACAGAAATTGCCATTGGTGAGTGTATAGCTAAGCACATAAGTAATATATCATTAGCATTTAAAGAGTAAATAAACTCAGAAATGGATACTAAAAATTGGCATTACCTTTACAACCCCTATCTTAAAAATAACTAGAGTCACATATATTATAAACAAAATAAATATTTTTTTACTGAAACAATTTAACTAAAACAATCTCCCTCTCTCAAGAAATAATTTCCTTTACAGATTAAAAATACAAAATATGGATACAATTTTGAATATATGAAGTAAAAAAAGGAGATGATTTAGAGATTTTGAGGGTGGAGGAAGTATATTGGTACAGATAATTAAAAGAAGAAGAAGAAGAAAACAATGTTGGAAGAAAATTTCCAACTGGCTATACATTTCCTAATTACTAACGGGGACCAACATGAATGTTAGGGTTAACGAATTGGGTGAAATTCAGAGAAATGAAGAAGTAACGGGAATTGCTTACTGGCTACGATGGGGAGAGGTGCGGGGAACGAGGGAGAAGCGGTGACGGGCGGTGTGGGGAATTTGGGGCAGCAGATTCTGAGGCCGCTCAACTGCGAGCTGACGAAGCCAAGATCCGCTGAAAGTCAAAATCAAAATCATTGATTTCACAAACACAAACAGAGAATAAAAGATGAAGAATGGAAGAAAGAAGGAAGAGAAGATGAGTGTTACAGGGTTTGTTGAGACCGAAGCTGTTCCTAAACGACACCGTACAGCTTGCAGAACTCGCCATTGCCATTGCCATTGTCATTGCTTCTGCGTTTGTTATCTCTTCAAATTTCCTACTACTTGGTACCCACACACCATGCGCTGCACCCGGATAAGATGAAAATAAAATATTATAATTAATTTTATCCATATTATATCTAAAAATATTTTTTATTTATTTATGATTTTTCAATTTTTTTTCTTTTGAATAGATAGGCCAGATGCACCTAATTTTACGATAAACTTAGATATATAAGATTTATAAATTATAAGAGAGGATAATGATATTTAATCATAAAGGCTTTTTTGATTTTGGA